ATGATATTGAGCTCGGTTATTTCGTCGTAGAATTTTCGGCTTTAACTATTAAGTGTAATAGATGGAGTTCGTTTCTTTTGTTTTAACTCGTTTTTGTTGATTTCGGTTCTCCGATTTAGTAAGCTAGAGTTTCTAGTATAATTGCTTAGTTAATTGCTAGTTGCTTACTTTCTTAGTTAATCTAGTGCTTAATCAATCTTCAACCAATGAATAGAGTGTTTAGGATTTATTTCTCTCGTTTTGTGTTTTTGGACAATTGAATAGCAACCAAAGCTCCGAATAGCCTTCCTTAGAGAACGACCCGAGTCGGGTAACTCGGTTACCACATACCCACAAATCTCTACTAAACAAATGGCGCCGTTGCCGGGGAGCGAATGGGTGAGTCCCGTGCATGTTGTCCCAAAGAAGAGTGGGATCACGGTAGTTGAGAATAGCAAGGGTGAGCTTGTGCCGACGAGGGCCACGACGGGATGGCGGATGTGTATAGATTTTCGAAAGCTCAATGCCGCTACAAGGAAGGACCACTTTCCCTTGCCGTTTATCGACCAACTCCTTGACAAGCTAGCCGGACATCCCTTCTATTGCTTTCTTGACGGCTTGTCGGGGTACTATCAAATCCCAATCGCCCCGGAGGATCAACCGAAGACCACCTTTACATGCCCCTTTGGCACATTTGCTTTCCGGAGGATGCCCTTTGGCCTTTGCAATGCTCCCGCCACATTTCAAAGGTGCATGTTTTCTATCTTTTCGGATATGATTGGTGAATTTATTGAGATATTTATGGATGATTTCTCCGTTTTTGGTGATTCGTTTGTTGATTGCCTTGATAAACTTGATAAAGTGTTGAAACGATGCATAGAAAGTAACTTGACTCTTAGTTGGGAGAAATCGCATTTTATGGTTCCTAGTGGTATTGTCCTTGGGCATGTCATTTCTTCTAAAGGGATTGAAGTAGACAAGGCAAAAATTGACGTGATTGAACAACTCCCTCCCCCTCTTAATGTGAAAGGTGTTCGAAGCTTTCTAGGGCATGCCGGTTTTTACCGGAGATTTATTAAAGATTTTTCAAAAATCGCCCGACCTTTATGTGCTTTACTTGCTCTTGATGCTCCTTTTGATTTCAATGAAGAGTGTATGCATGCTTTTAATGAATTGAAGAGAAGATTGGTCACGGCACCAATTGTGATGCCCCCGAATTGGTCTTTACCATTTGAAATCATGTGTGATGCCTCGAATTATGCGGTTGGGGCCGTTTTAGGTCAAAAAGTTGAGAAACGCCATCATGTTGTTTGCTATGCTAGCATGACCTTGAATGAGGCCC